TGTCTGGGGTGCACATTACGATACTTATCGACAAGATCAAACATCGATAAGGTCTCGAAATGGTTTCACATCCCGGTTGTTAGTACCCGAATATGGCCCTATACGATCTATGTCGGGTCAAGAACGGCATTTCACTCCCCTGCTAAAACTACCCGACGAGATGTGGTCAAAAACGGTTTGATCTACCGAAACAAAGTAGGCCACTCAGAATGTTCATTGGGCGCATAAACCCCGATGAGGCGAAGAGCTTTATACTTTATGGTAACATCCAGCACGCAATGCCTGCCCGCCGGATCTGCGATGACAAGAGTACACACAGCCTTTAAAGACTTGCTAACCAACGAAGAGACAACTCTCGAGCAACCACCAAAACATGCTGAATAGAGAGAGAACGCCCTAGACAGAATGCTCTGATAGTCATGAGTAGAAAACCGTGTCTCTTGTACACTACAAACATTCACCCTGAGGGGCTGAAGGTCACGAGAGAGCCTCGCCCTGCTAGACTCCGACCTCAGGTCTTGAGCATTCCAACTTGCTAACCAGAGAGCGATAATGAAACCGATTAGGGTTGCTCTCCTGCATTGAACATGGCCGGGTTTAGGACACCAACGGCCTCTCCCATCTCAGTTCTGATGGTGCCATCAGGAGACAGACCGCCAATGTCCGGGTTGGGGAAGAGTTCATTTTAGTGCTCTATACAGGGAGAGAAGAACAAAAAGCGGGAGCCTCTCTGGACAGTATTGATTTAGGTTTTCTTCATTTTCGTTGACGAAGAAATTCACTGGTGGATAAACATAAAAAGAGCTATTGGCTTCTCGTAACATAGCCCATATGTTTTCTGACCCCTGCCCAGTCCTAACGACCGTCAATATTCGTTTGGCTTTCGGAAAGTTATACAGATTTTCGATGTCCAAGTCATTATTTTTTTTTTCCATATTTAGCATTATTTTTAGTTATTTTCCTTTTCGGGATTGGGAAAAAGCTTTGTCTACCTAGTGTTAAGATATCCGGCAGACATCTTCACCCTTATTAAATAGTAACTTTTGTTTCAACTTTTTTTTAATGATAAGCTCTGCTGAGTCTGAGGAAAGGCTGTGCTGGCTTTTTTGAGTTTCATTCATTTTATTTTGGTGAGGGGGTGAATTACTGGGGGGGTTGAACAGGGGATGGATTGGGAGCTATGGACGGAGCAGGGTTTTTTAAGGAGGATTTGGAAGCAGAGGTTTTTTCTTAAGAGGAGTCATTTTGGAAGGGGCCAGTGTTATAGTTTTCCACATTAGGGGTTGGTCTATAAGGGGCTGTTTTGCGGATGTCGGAGATGCAGCTGATAAAGATTGCTTTAGTATTCTTCGAGGTTGATGTCGTTTATCCTTTAAAGACTCTTTTAATTTTTCAAGTTTTTCCTTTTTTACAAATGAGGGCTCGTATTTCAGACGCTGTTGGCGAAGTTTGCCAACGTGGGTGGTCGGAGAGTCGCCCTTAGAACAGGTAGAGGGAGTGGGGCTGTGCATGTCTTTAACCGTGGGGATTTCAGTGGAATGAGATCCCGCTGCCCGGAGCTTCCCTTTGACCCTGCCAACGACCTGCTATTCCCCCTCTTTCTTCTCCGCAACCGCACTAGCGGCGGGCAAAGGCTTTTCGGGGAATGGGGGCTGAGCGGCAGACCCAGCCGCCGCTTTAAACACACCGGCCCCGATCGCTGGCATGCCCCTTACAGGCGAGACGAAAATAACAGACTCAGTTGCAGGAAGATTTGGGTCGACAGGGTCCAGAATCTCAGAGGCCTTCTTCTCTATGCGGGAAAAGGACAGGTGACCAGTCTGCCCACACTTCCAGCAAATTGGTCTACGCCCGGTGACAATAATTGGCATTTTCTGGCCCGCTACATCCAGACAGTTAGGGATGGAGATGAAGGCCTTCCGATCTATCATTATTTCGAAATTACCCCCGGTCAAATCGTCAGAGGAAGCACTGGGTATCTGTCCAAATTGGCATAGATATGCAGCCAAGTGCTCCCCGATGATCTGAGGAGGAACATCAAACACTGATTAAAGATCCTCCACATGGCTTCATATTCTGTATGAAGAATAAGGTCTTTTGTAATAAGATCGCAACTGGATGCGGCTTCACAGTCGGCAGGCGTGGGTAACAGTCCGTCCCACATAAAATATCCCTTTCCTTTAAACACCTTCTCAGGTTTGATCCCCAGAGAAATTAGTGATTTTATTACGGTGTCTTTAGTGAAGCGACAAATTTTGCACGAACGCTTGTCCACCACAAAGACTGGCAGAATACTTTTCTCAAAGTTCTGTAATTCCTCGGGATTGACCAAAAGTCCTTATGCTGTGACCAGAGTGTGCGTAACTTTTGGCTTTCTCGAGGAACACGGTAATGTTGATCGTACACTTTGGTAGAGACCTCCAGCTAGAGGGTGTCTCTCCGACCTTTATATTTTCGTTTTTGCTTTTGTCGTCTTCTGCTGCTTTTGTCTGTTTTGTATATTATGACCCTTTTACGCAATCGTCAGGCCACATGTGTTAGATTTTTTTCTCGACTATTTATATATTCAGGTCAGTGCTGCATTGTGGGTAGTCCATTCTAACGGTTATTTTGTAGGGAGTGGTTTGTTTATTTATTTGAATTAATTTATGTTACTTAAACATATAGCGTATCTATCTATCTATCTCTTTCTTTCTTTCTTTCTTTCTTTCTATCCTTCTTTCCTTCCTTCTTTACTTAATTTTCAGTCAATACGTTATATATAGTGGATACACGTGTTTGAATAGATATTGCTTTTATTTAAATACTTTCGAAAATTCAGGCCGATAGACGAAAATCTACTGTCTAAAAAACAGACGTCTATTCAAACACGTTTGTCCACTAAAAATAACTTCTATAGTAATAAGAAATGAGAATATGGATAAAATTCCATTAATTCCCTAAAAATAAAATTATCTTGATAGATAGATAGATGTAGGTAACGGAAATGTACATAGATATTTTATTTTATCTTTCATAATAACAATTACTCTTTGCGGCCGTTCCGTTTAAGACTATAATTTATCCTTTATTATTAATGTCCAACCGAGAAAAAATGTATTTTTAAAGAAAACAAAATATCCTCTATGTACAAATAAATAAAATATTTCCGTAACAGCGGGTATGTATAACTTTGTCTCACTTTAATAATGGCAATAATGACTCACGTTAATAATGACAATAATGAAGTTTAGATTAACAACAATGATTGTGAAATAGATATCTCTTAGCTATATGTTTTACCTGTGTTCCCAGGATAGAAAATCGTTTTGTTGTTATAATCAGCCGCGTTCCAAATTCTGTTAATCGGCATAGAGAGTTAGTACAAATATATATTTCGTCTTATATATATATATATATATATATATATATATATATATATATATAACAAATATATATTTGTACTAGCTGAAGTACCCGTCTATGCCGATCAACATGGTGATTTTCTTTCGTGTTTCGGTGATAATGCTAAAAGCTTATTCGACAATGTGAAAGGAATTTACTTAAAATAAATAGACAAAATTTGTCTATATTATTTAATAAAACATGCATTAATGAAAAATGCTGCCTAAATACACACAATTTAATTATATATATATATATATATATATATATATATATATATATATTCGTTTTCATTTCTATTAAATAGAAAAGTATAATTTTAGGTATGGTTTTATTCGTTAACAAGTATCGATAAGTCGATTAGCTATAAATTTGGAGCTCAATGCATGATTCCAAAACTTCTATATTTGGATATATTGTGTTGAAACTTGATCCTCTGTGAAATTGTCATCCACGTGAATCTTACGATCGCAAATTTTTTAAGTTCAAAACTTTATTAAGCTAAAGCTACTTGACAAAATATGTTTGAAATGGTTAAAACAAAAGCAAAAATCGTTAATATAACATACATTTTATTTATACCAGTATTTTGGAAATATTTTTAAAAATCAATCAAATAAATTGTCCTCAACTCTACCAAACCCTGAGGGATCAGATCCTAAGAGGAGAGCTTAAATTGACTGAAAAATGTTAGGTTGACTGCATTAATATCTTTCGCTGTTTCCTTTCGTTTTCACGGTTGGTTTGCCTTGTAAGGCAGATATATTTTTTTAAGTAGGAAGGGCGTTGTGTCCCCTGTCATCAGGGGGTAAATACAATAACTATCAGGATCTGTCCAAAACTTAAAAATGGAGCGAAATAATTGGATTGACGAATTTCTCTTTCAAATTAACCAAGTAAGAAAACCATGAAATGTTAGCGCATTAAATTTTCCAATAATGGTGTGAGTCATTGAAGGTGCGGCCCAGTTTTCAGCATTTTCACATTTCTGGTGTTTCTAATTAGCAAAATAAATCCCACGTTGTTCCTGTAAATCAATACAGATGCAGAAAAAAAAAGACAAAAGGTAATTTTGTAAAACAAGCCAAGTCATGTGTACAGGCAATCGTGTTAATACGCAGCAGCTCTTTCGAGTGGAGAAGACCTACTTAGCGTTTTTATTTAATACCATGCGTTTTTATAATATAAAATCCAAAGAAAAAGTGGAAAAAATCAAACAAATTGTAAACTTTTTGTTTTATTGACAGCGCATTTTACCGACGTCAGATAGGCGCCTTCTGGCTATTTATTTTCTCTTTATTAACGGCTTTAATGATATAAAAAAATCACACGCAGTTCTGTTATTTCATTTCGATGAACATATTTATGGGTTATATAATGCCCAAATCTAAATAAATTTGCACGCAGCTTATTTTAGTGGAAGATAATAATAGTTGCAATGATACAAGTCTTATTAAATAACCCATAGCTGAGGGTAGAAGTGAATACATACCTTTTGTCAGGGTATTTGTGCGCAAGTGAATATAACGAAACACAAGTGGAATTGGAACTCGACTCTACGATTAAAAATCCCGAGCCATTATTCATTACACCGCCAACACATACAAGCTTTCATGACCTGGTATTCTCAAGCACTCACCCATCTACGTACTGACCAGGCTCGACATAGCTTAACTTCAGCGATCGTACGGGGACTGTTGTTTCAAGTATTATTATTATCAATGACATATCTCTGATATTTGTGGATTTTGTTCGATAAGCGTTTTCAGATGTTGATTGTCAGTTGCAGATGAACCTCCTCTATCACTCCGAACTTCAAGACTTGTATCCACGCCGAGGAACTTCAGAAATCAGCTGCGTAATATCTGATTACAAGTATAGTTCTTTCACCCTTAGCACTTTTAATGTTGAAAGTAGTATGAGAAGCACTATGACCAAGTTTGAACTCCTACAGAAAAGTAAACGTATGTCTTTTTCGTTCATGTTCTAGGTCAGGGGCATATAACGTTTTAAGCTAAATGATCATCGGAGGCCATCTCGCACATTTACAAATCTACCATTCGTCCATGCATTGAATACTGGTGCCATATCTGGTCTGGAGCCCTTGCTAATCATCTCGAGGTTCTTGACGAAATCCAGAAAAGATCTCTAACGTAATCGATCCTGATTTGACATCTCGACTTCATTCACTTTCTCGCCGACGTGGCGTGGCTTCCCTCTGTCTTCTCTACAGATATTTTCATGGCAACTGCTCTGATGAGCTTCTTTCCCTGGTATACCGACTACATGAATTTAAGCGTGCTACTAGATTGGCATCTAGGTCCCATCCGTTTACTGTTAAAATAGTTAAGTGCAACCGCCACTTTTACTCCAATGATTTGTTTTCTTGCACTTCCCAGCTGTGTAACTCTCTTCCGTTTATTTGCTTCCCGGATAAATCGGCATCTTTCTTCTTGAATCCCGCTCATCTTTTGTCCTTCTCTCAGTTCTCTCTATACCAATCTTTTACCTCCTTCTCACTCTCTGTACCCCCAGGCGTAATCGTGGCATTTTTCTTATGCTTAGGGTGAAATGATTATAAAAATGCTGAAAGAGATTGATATAAAATTAACAAAGTGGTCACTTTAATCATTCGGAATGAGTAATATATATTTTGTGCAACTATTATAACAATATATTAGGATGCAATTAAAACAGGGTGGTCTGAAAGTCTTGTCACTCGTATCCTCCAAAAAGTAATGAGAACAATAGAAGAACAAGTAATACAGTAATACAAAGCCCATGTACTGGATTCAGTTTATTCACTTTCATTGATGAAATCAAGGTCCTTTGTCATGTATTTTGACATTGTGATTTATGAATGCTTAGCTCGGAAGGCCGTTTTCATAGTGACTTCTGTCTGGCCCTCATCTACCAGGAAATTATCCAGCATTCACTACTATATAAGGAGATTTCATATTACATAGCACTTTTGGTTTGTTTGTTTGTTTGTTTTTTAATAATTTCACTGCAAGCAAGGTGAGAGTGCTACTAGCACGCAAGGGGTTATGAAGAGTGAAAACAAGAGTAAAGAGGGGTGCTTGAGAAAAGCATATAGAGAAGGACGAGGATCAGGATCAAGACATCACAAGATGTCGACTGAAATTACATTTGAATATTTGAAGAATATTGCTATCAAGAAAGCAAAAAGGGGGAAGGGAGTTCCACTGGCGGGAAGTGCAAGAGAAGAAGCTGTTGGAGTAGAAGAGACAACCGTGTTTAACTGTTTCGACAGTGGAAGGGTGGAACCGAGGTGCCAAACTAGAAAAACTATACAGGGTGGTCCGAAATTCCTGTCACTCCCTACCAAAAGGAAATGAATACAATAGATCAACAGGTAATACAAAACATATGCACTGTATTCAGTTTATTCACTTTTATTGATAAAATCAAGGTCCTTTGTCATGTGTGTTAACATTGTGATTTTGGGAATGCCTAGCTCAGAAGACCATTTTCATAGTGACATCTTGGTTGATCGTAGCACAGATGTCTGTCCTTCATCTATGAGGAGATTATCGAGAATTCATTGCTATATAGGAGATTTAATATTACATAGCATTTTAGCACTTTTTTTCTCTGTTTCCATCTACGTTTTGCTCTCTCTTAATACCTCACTTACCTTTTTTTTGTGTCTACTAAAAATAAAATAATGAAAAATACCGGATTAGAATAAATCCATTAATTCTTTAGAAATTCAAAGAGTGGGACACTCCGGACTATGCGACGCCATGTCCTGTGCGATATTTTACGAAGCTGTGCTTTGTTGATTGTTGCAAAGGTTCTCCAAACAGCGTCCTTCAACTGATGGGTATTCTGTTATCGTTCATGTGAAACCCTCTTCTTGATAATACTCCTCACAGTGTGTTGAAATAGAAAATTATATTATCTGGGGGTGACAAGATTTTCGGACAACCCGATAAAATCAGACATTATTTTCCGATCAGTCTAATATTTCGATGACAAGCATGCATTTCGTTTTCTTGCAGTTAGTCCTTTCCTCGTAAAATTCCACCTCTCACTTGTTAGCACCAATTTCCTTGTAGTTTTTATTTTCCTAAAAATCGCCTCGTTACTCACCTGTTCTGTCTATAGTATTTTTAGCGACGGAACTCTGTCGCAACAAACTTCAGGTGACTGGAATTTCGAACTCGATCTTTTATTTCGTCCACCGGGGTAGATTGTTCTAGTTCTATGTGCCATCCCTCCTCCGGATGTCTCGGTTATCTCCCTTTTAACTCAACTCTTCAAGTTTTTTTTCACCTCTGCAGTAGCCAGGCATTGAACTCACAACTCTTTGGGTCAAATTTTTTTACCCACTGGGCCATGTATCCTTGAGGATATCATGAATTTTGGGGAATTATAAACTTAATGTCTCACATAGAATTTTTACCAGATTTCATATTCCAATTTTTGTTGTTATTGCTTTTCTGTAGCACTCCGTAATACTGGTTCCCATATTGTATTCATTTCTATGCTTGGCTTGTTTAGGAGATTTTAATGGCCCAACATATGTGCTGATTACTTAAGTTTTCATATTTTCTAGTCATGTTCCAGTCTATTATTTCAGCCTCACCCTACAAGGGGTGGGGGCGGTGATCTCCCTTTCCCAACCATATGGGGGTCTGCTACGCCTGACTTTTCTATTTTCCCTCGTGTTACGGCTTTACGATGTTACGGCAGTCTTACCTTAAGATGACGGCCTGTCTCTACTTTATATTTCTTGCCACAGCTGCACGGGATGGCGTACACACAGTCCTTAATCATTTTCTTCCCTATGGGGGAGGGTTCTTATTTGGAAGCGGTATCTGTGAAGTATTGAACCGCTTTTGAAAGTTGTCCTCATATTATATGGACCACAGATTTTTTTATGTATTCTTCTCTGGTAATCCCTTCACATACGGTAGGCAGACCAAAGTTGTTTTCTGGGTATTTTATCTCCTTTGTACCCTTTTATTCCAATTTGTCGGAGTTTCTGCCATGTACCCAAGTTACTTGTTACATTGTTGGGTACTGCTTATACTGGCCATTTCTTGTTCATATGTCTTTGTACCGCTACTTATGACTTTTGCTCGATGTTGTAGGCAGTGGACGATCCCTTTCTTTGCACTGTATGAATGGTGTGAGTTGAAGATGAGATATTGTCCAGTAATTGTTGGCTTGCAGTATACGGGTTTGTCTTTATTAATGTGGATTCTAAAGCCATTTCTTCTAAGTTTTTTATATATTAGTTTGCCATTTCTGGTGATAATGGTGAGCCCATTGCTAAGCCTTATACTGTTGATATATGACTACTAAGAAAAGTTTTCCTTTTGTCTTCATTCATATCTTACACGTGTATAGTTCTTTTATTCGTCCGTGCATAGAATATTGCTGCCAGATACGGTCTGGTGCTTCTGCTATATATCTGCTACGGTCACCCATCTAAATTCTAACCAGGCTCGATGTTGCTTTACTTAGGGAAAACGCTGCATCAACGCGATGAAGTCTTAAGCCCTTTATACTACCCGAACCTACAAGCTTAGATCACCTGGTATCCTCAAGCGGTCATCCATCTAGTACTAGAAATTTTTTAGCATCTCTCAGTTGCGTCTGTGTCTTCGGACAGAGTGTGACTCAGTTGTGGCTCTATCCGCGGACAGAGATGCAACTGAGATAAATAAATACTCTGAGGTGCTCTGACCCAGGGAAAGTTTCCCGTGGCTGCCCTCCCCCCCCCCAATTGTACGATAGACGCCTGATCTTGTGTTGCATTCCATCTCAGTCTCAATCTTTTCTATAAATACTTTTATGGTAATTGTTCTGATGAGATTTTCGTTATGATACCTAGTCTTTTTTTAATTTAAGCGCAATACTAGACTGGCGTCAAGATCTCATCAATTTACAGTTGAGCTGCCTAGTTATAACCGTAAATTCTATACTAACAGTTTATTTTCTCGCACTTCCCGCTTGTGGAACTCTGTTCGGGTTCCATGCTTTTCAACTTTAATCTGCAAAAATGTAAATGCAATGTCAATCGCTATCTACTGTTTTCCTTATTATTCTTTCCTCCTCACGCTCATTATTAATGTTTCTGTTCCTGATTCTTCTACACCCTATAACACCTTGTGTCTTAGTAGCTTTAATTCCTTGCATGGGGTGATAACGATTAAAAAAAAAGTAAGCTTTGAAAATCACATATTATGTGAAGGCTAAACATCAAAGTGACTAACATAACCAATCCGGTGTAAATGATTTTCAAACTTTGATTTGGTTGTTATCATTATACTGGTCAACTCCCGTTCTGTCGCGTTTACAATTAATATTATGTTTTGATTACTGCCAATCTTTCCTTGTCTATCCGACCGTGGAAAAAAGTGATAAAATTTCTTTTGACAAGTTTGATTAGTCACAATATTTTTAATGCCATATCGCTTCATAACATGGAGGCTAAACATCTAAGTGACTAACATAACCAATCCGGTGTAAATGATTTTCAACCTTTGAAAGAACACTTTTTTTCTTGTAATCGCCTCCAATTTCTCTCTCATTTTGAATTCTGTTTGGTCCTGCTTTCAGATTGGCTGCCAGCCATAACTAATCTGCTCTGCCGCTTTACTTAGAGCTAGAAAGAGAAGAGATGAGTTCATGCCTTTTGCAACGGTATTTGTGCGAAAGGTAGCGTAACAG